GTAGAAGAGGAAAAGGAGAAAAGGAACCAGGGATGCTATTGGGATGATGAGAATTATAGCAGAACCAACTTTGGAGATAGATGAAGAACTGTGTGTTTTCTTCATAGACTGACAGAAGGCATTTGACCATGTAAACTGGACCAAATTAATGCAGATCCTAAAGGAAACAGATATCGATTGGTGTTAAAGAAGATGGATCAGAAAGTTAGAGTACGACTGGACAGAGGGGTGGCAGGAAGTGTGCAGATTGGAAGAGGAGTTCGACAAGGATGCTGTTTATCACCAATTCTGTTCAACTTGTACAGCGAATGCCTTACCAAGGAAGCTCTGGATGGGCTCGGAGACTTCAAATTAGGAGGGCAAATTATTCAAACTGTGAAATATGCAGATGACCTTGTGTTAATGGATAAGGAAGAAACTGTGCTACAGGACATGATTGATAGACTAATTGAAATTGGAAGGTGCTATGGCATGGAAATGAATGTGGAGAAAACAAAAGTAATGAAAATTTCGAGACAACCAACCCGTCACAATAAAGATAGACCAAGAACAACTGGAGAATGTGAAATGTTTTAAATATTTTGGTAGCTTGTTAACAGATGATGGAAGGTGTACTAGTGAAATTAAATCCAGGATTGCCATGGTAAAAGCTGCATTTAGTAAGAAGAAGAATCTTTTTACCAGCAAATTGGACTTAAATTTGAGGAAGAAACTAGTGAAATGCTACATTTGGAGCATAGCTCTGTATGGAGCTGAAACATGGACACTTAGGGCAGTAGATCAGAAACATCTGGAAAGTTTTGAAATGTGTTGGAGAAGGATGGAGAAGATCAATTGGACCGATTATGTGAGAAATGAAGAAGTGTTAATTAGAGTCAGTGAGCAGAGGAATAACCTACACGAAATAAGAAAATGGAAGGCTAATTGGAATGGTCATGCTTTACGCAGAAACTGCCTTCTAAAAGAAGTTATTGAAGGAAAGATAGATGGACGGATAGAAGTGACAAGAAGACGTAAGAAGATGCTGGATGACCTTGGGGACAGAAGAGGATACTCTCATTTGAAGGAGAAAGCTCTAGTTCGCAATAAGTGGAGGAATTGTTTTGGAAGAGACTGTGGTCCTATCGCCTGACAGATTACTAATGATGATGATATAAAATATAAAGGCAGCTACCTGCCACCCATCTAGTTTTCCTGTCAGGAGTGTGGACATTACGAAGGAGTGCTTGAAAAAGCTTGGGATGTTGCAGTTCTGTGGGACGTTTTTCTGTAATTCGTTCTCTTCAAGCAACATTACTGGTAGGAGAACAAATGAGTTTGAATGATATTAAGTATTGTGTTGAACTGATTATATGTTGTGATTAAATTCAAAACGAAATGCACGTTAAAATGACCGTTAGACTTATTAATTTGTGAAGTAAACCAAATGCTCGTCACGCCAATTGCGCAATCAATTCGTAGCTATATGGAATTATTTTAATTTTCAAACAGAATAAGCTGGTTTATCTTGTCTGAAGAACGACGTTCTTGTAGTTGAACCCACAACCGAATGGGAAATTTCGTTAGATGGCAACCTTCGCTGCTGCGGGTGGAACACTGCTCTCCGTGTTGATTTCTAAAGCTTTAAAATGGCGGCTAGTATAGACGGTGTTTTTGAAGAAATTTTAAAATCATCGATATTATCTGCCAGAGTGTTGGTTGTGGGCGCAGGAGGTATAGGTTGTGAACTTTTGAAGAATCTTGTTCTCTCAGGTTTCGAAGATGTCGAAATTGTAAGTTTTAAGAATGTAATATATTTTATATATTCTTTCGGCATGCGTCACATCTATTTTTGGTGTTCGAGAACTCCAAGGGGCATATACTAGAGCCCTGATTATCTAGGCTTCATACATTTTATGCCCTGATAATAAGAATTTGATGCACAGATTCATTCTTGGTTACTGGTAATAATCATGATGAGCTTAAGCATAAAGTCAGGGGTACACTGTCTCTTATTATAAATTGGTTCACAGCTAATAAGTTGGCCTTAAATATCACTAAAACTAATATTATTAGGTTTGCTCTAAAACAGTCCTATAACTCTCTGGCAGTTGCTAGTGGGAATTTGTTTATAAATGAAGTTTCTGTGATAAAATGTTTGGGTCTGCAAATTGATAAGAATTTAGACTGGAAGAGTCATGTAGAGTATATTCTCCCTAAACTTAGTTCAGCTATTTTTGTAATTAGGAGTTTATCTTATTTTATGAGTAAAAAAATTTTACGGTTGGTGTATTTTTCTTATTTCCACTCTATTCTTAAGTATGGAATAATTTTTGGGGGCAACTCAACGAATAGTGTTAGAGTTTTTAAATTACAAAAAAAAGTAATGAGGATTATATCTGGAGTGGGACCTAGAGACTCTTGTAGGGATCTTTTTTAGGAAATTGAATATACTGCCATTGTCATGTGAATACATTCTCTCGTTGATGATGTTTGTGATTGATAACCAAACTAAATTTTGTTCAGGTTTAGATGTTCATGGTTTGAATACAAGAAATCGAAAGCAGTTATATTTGCCAAACTCAAATCTTTCTGCTTTTCAGAAAGGTACTATGTTTACTGCTATTAAACTATTCAACAGATTGCCCATAACCATTCAAAGCCTTAAAGAGGATAGAATTAGTTTTAAAAATAGGCTGTTTTTATATTTTATGAATAATTCCTTTTTTTACAGTTTCTGAATATGTGGAGCATAACATAAACAATTAGTTTTAATTATTTTTTATCTGTGTTTGTTTAAATTTTGTATGACGACCTTCATGTCCATTTGTTTGGACTTGTGAAATGAAATGAAATGTATGTATGTATGTATTAGAGTCGAGGTTAGGCGTGTGTTGCTCAATGAAGTGTCAAATCAAACTGTGTCCAGTGCTTCCGAACCGTATTTTAGGTCCATTGGTTGAATCTTAAGATCAATAATTTAATCACAGTATGGCCAGTACCTCAGGCTAATGCCGGGATGGTCACTTTGATGTGGATGTTGTAATAAAAGAGGAGTGGGTAATTTACATTTTTCTATTTTTCACTTTCACTTTATTTTAAATCCCATAGAACCTTTCAGTTTACGCATGCCATAAGATATAGAACATGTCAAAATACATAAAAAGAATGGACCCATCAACATGGAATACAGTCGCAGTACAAAATTTGTACATAAAATATTCAGATATGATCAAATTTATGCAGATATATGATTATCGTTATCACAATCATAAATTAATACAAAAGACCTATTCATAACATAGAATAATATTTAATGTGTTCAATTTGTCGGCCTGCCCATAATTGTTTCTACCATTATCTTACATTAAGTGTTCTCCTATTTGAGTGCAAATGCGTTCTTCAAATAGCGTATTTTTGTTAAGAATAAAGTCATTGAAATTTTGGCTGATGGCAAAATCTGTAATGGTGTAGTTGATTTTTTATTGTAGTTTTATATATTCTAATTCTTGTTGTTAGATGGTAAAAGACAGAAAGGTTCTGGACTGAATTGTAACAAGCATTACCCAAATTCAGCTTCCTCTTAATTTCCTCATGAATCAAATTTGGATTTGTTTCTGTCATTCCCAAATATTTGAAGTGTGCCACATTTTCAAAGGCTCTGTTGGCTCTCTTTGTATCATGATTTTGCCCTGCATCCTGGTCATGAGATAGCGACATATACTTAATCTTCTCTATGTTTACTACTAGACCAACCTCCCTACTAGCCTCACATTTGACCGATGTACACCAAAACATTTACATTAACACCAGGAAATATGGAAGTGTGGGCAGTTCCCACATCAGCTGTTGAAGCGAACAGGAAAACGTACGTAACGTCTAGAGCGTGTAGTTCGTTCTACAGGCGGTGGTGGTAAAGCATGCGGAGCCGTGGTTGGGGTTGCGTCAGCTGTGGGGTTGAAGGTCTTGGAGAAGACGGAACGACCGAAAAATTGGTGGGAATAGTCATGAATATGATGGACGGGGTAGCGGTCAGGGATGGTCCGGGCATTTAAAGCTCTGTAGTCACCACAGGGACACCAACAGCACCAGCTGTTTACTTGCCGTTGCTAAGCAGTTATACTTGCGTTGTCACATTTGCTTGAATGTGGGCAGTTTCCACAGAAGAGACAAGATGCAGTAGGCTGTAATTCGAATAGAGGAACTGTATGACAAAGACCAAGTGAGGGGGTGACTATGCTCTTGTACTGTTACATTTATTTGCAGTGTAGTGATTTCTTCCTTTTTTTATTTATTTGTAATTTCAGATTGACTTGGACACAATTGATGTGAGCAACTTAAATCGCCAGTTTTTGTTTCATAAGCAACATGTTGGAAAATCCAAGGCAGCAGTTGCACGGGAAAGTGCACTGACATTTAATCCCAATGCCTCTATCAAAGCATACCATGACAGTATTACGAGGTAAGAGTATACTATTTGTCTTGCCCAATTTAGCACCTTACCATATTTTCATTTATTTATCTTTTTTCACGTGTTCAATTCAGTTTGACCTAAGGAGCATAAATCTTGACAGAGGTGGGACTAACCATTTTGTGCCCTGAGCAAGTCAAAGGCCACACTTTCCCTCTTTCCTGCAGTTCATATTCTGTTAAGTTGGCAACATTCAGCAATATTTTTGGTTTTTAATTCATGGACGTTTAATTGTGATATGTGCCTCTGGCAGTTGTTGTCTTTGCCCTGCTTTAGTTCTGCCTGATTCTGTAATACTGTGATATTACACTTTGCCTTTATTGTTAGCGTGAGTAAACATACATATTTATCATAATTTTGTTACTATATTTACCTGCATAATCCCTTCCATCTGTTTTCTCCAAAATGTGTTAAATGTGGTTAATATCTGACAGTGTGAAAGAAATTTTCTCCAAATTGGAAACTCAGTATTGGGATATGAAAAATCAGCCACTGCTTTATCTTATTCTGTTCAGAATTTCTATCTTGTGCTGCTAGCAGAGTACTCAAAATGCCAGTGAAGGGTAAAATAAAATTATTGTAGTCATATAGTTGTCTAAACAAAATGGTAAAATGAGAATTATGGAAGGAAACAGGAAAATAAATTACTTGTATTTCCTCTTCAGTTTTAGGCAAACAGAAATTTTGTGAGGAAAGGAGGTATAGAGAATATTTTTAATTTCCTTTCAACTTTCTCTGATTAAGTTTTTATAAACAAGACGATAGCTGCCATGTTGCCTAATGCTCCTTCACATGCAAGCAGTGCTTTTTTTGTCTCAATTTTGACGACTTAAAATTCAAGTTGTGTACTTTAAAATATTAAACTTATCAGTAGGGCTCGGATTTCTATGACATGTCATATTTTTATCCTGGAATCTTTTCACATGTATAATTAAATATAAACGTATTTCTGACTCTTGTGAACATGAAAATACGGTTTTTATTGGCCATATAAGTGCATATTTGAACCATATTTTAGCTTTAGGTCATATTTGGGCCTGAAGTGATATAAAATCATATTTTTGGTCATATTTTAGGCGATTTTCACTTATTGCTCAGAAATATATTTGCAAATATTGGCAACGATGTTATTTGGAACTTCATTTCTTATAAATATTTGGCCTTGTGTAACGGGATTTGAAGGAATACTGTACAGTGTGAAGGGTAACGGTTCTTGACCTGGCGTAGAATCAGCCACTTTGAAAAGAGAAATTGCCACCTCTGCCTATGTCTGTCTGTCTGTGTCTCTTTTTCTTCTCCACTGCAGTGATACCTGAAGTCCAGTTTGTTTCTTGCATATTGGTGAAAAATTTTTCCATCCACAAAGCGGTAAATTTCTACCCTCTCCCCGAAACCCGTCCAATACAGTACTGTATTCATAACTTCAGTTGTTCAGTATAGTTTCAAGATGCCTATAGTCAAGTGCTCTAATAGCGTGAAGTTGCGTGGTTTTATTAAAGAGTTNGTAAGTGGTAGATTTGTAGCGAATGTTGTTGTTGGTATACTGAAAGATGACCAGCCTCGAGATATATTCCTATTGGCATGTGAGGTGTTGGAAAAAGTGAACAATTCTTCCATTGCTGTTGTTTTCGACAATGCGATGAATTTGCTGTGGCCAAATAAGGTAGAACGAGAGAATGTGCTCCTCTTCTTAGCGGATGCTGCTCCATATGTGGTAAAGGCAGCAAAGGGACTTCAGGTACTGTATCCCAAAATGGTTCATGCAGTGTGTCTCGCACATGCTCTGCATAGGGTAGCAGAAGAGGTGCGAGAGAGCTACTTTGATGTAGATAAATTAATAGCAAATGGGAAGAAAATTTTTGTTAAGGCTTCACTTCGAATGCAGAAGTTTAAAGAAGAGGCTCCATCATTACCCCTTCCTCCTAAGCCTGTTCTAAAATGATGGGGGACTTGGCTCGATGCTGCAGATTATTATTGCACACACTACAGTGTGATTGAAAATATCTTCATGAAGTTTGACAGAGATGATTCATCTTCAATTTGAACTGTACAAAATTTGTTTTCATCAACAACGTCAAGAAATCTAGCATACATAAAATCAAATTTCAGTGTGATATCAAAATCCATCATTAGACTTGAAGCTGTGGGCATGCAACTGTGCAATGCATTACAAATTGTTAAGAAAGTTGAAAGTGAACTACATCAAGCACAGGGCGAAGTTGCTGTGAAAATTAGTGCAAAATTACAAAATGTGCTCCAACGAAATCCTGGATATTCAACACTGTGTACAATTTCTGACATTCTTTGTGGCAAAGAAGTTGAATTTGACAACAGTGAATTAGAACTTGACGCAAGTGATTTGACTTGTTTTAAGTATGCCCCTGTGACATCTTGCGACGTAGAAAGGAGTTTCTCCAAATACAAGGCCATTGTTAGTGACAATCGGAGGTCCTTCAAGTTCGAGAATTTGAAAATGCATGTTGTCATTCAGTGCAACTCTACTGAAAAGGAAGATTAAGGTACCGTACAAATTATTTACCTGCAACTATTAGCACACTTTACTTTACTTTTCACGCTAAAATAAACAATACTTTCGTTCATGTTTTCTCTTTACAGGGTCAGCATTGTGTTGTGATGGATGCTTCACGGCTTAAAGACATTTATTCAGAAAAAATAACTTTGTACACTTTTCAATAAAACGCCATTCAGCTTTTCTCTTTATGGGGTCAGCAATGTGCTGTGATCGATGCTTCAGAGCTTAAAGATATTTATTCAGGACAAAATAACTTTGTAAACTTCTTAATAAATTGCCATTCTTAGGAATTTTTATTAAATATTTACTTATTTTTTGTGGCCATTCTGTCATATTTTAGGTCATATTTTGCCATTTTTAGGGCATAAATGCATGCATATTTTCAAAATTTTTAGGTCATAGAAATCCGAGCCCTACTCATCAGTATTGAATCGAGGAAGCTGCAGCAGACAGTTCTATACAGTACTGCACTCTCCCGAGGAGCATGAGAACTATATGCAACACCTGTCACACAGCCCAAAGAAATAGCAAGAAATAACACACAGCAGTGTACTGAACACTTTTGAGGATATGGCCAGAAAGAATAGAGAATAAATGACAAAAGAATTCCAGTAACACGATTGAAGTTGTTAACAACTTAGTATTTTTTCAGTTTTTTTAATGTAGTGGCTTCATTCTCTTTACAGCTCTGAATACGGAGTGAATTTCTTCAAAAGATTTTCATTGGTAATGAATGCCTTGGACAATCGTGCTGCTCGGAACCACGTCAACCGAATGTGTCTAGCAGCTGATGTTCCTCTGATTGAAAGTGGAACAGCAGGTTACGACGGTCAAGTGGAGTTGATAAAGAAAGGTCTGACACAGTGCTACGAGTGTCAGCCGAAAGCAGCTCAGAAAACTTTTCCAGGGTGTACCATTCGCAACACACCCTCTGAGCCCATTCACTGCATTGTCTGGGCAAAACATCTCTTTAAGTAATTATTTCAGTATGTAATTACCTTCTGTATGCACGTGTTGTTTTGGTCATACATATCTCTGTGTGTAGCACTATATCTAACTCTCATCAGTTTTGTATAATTTATTGCATCTGTCATACATAATAATTATAAAAGGATCAAAGAGTAGTACATTCTGGTTTGTAATGCTGTATAGTTCATTGGAAGTCCACCAGTGTTGTAAGGGGAACATACACCTGCATCTTCAAGATAAATGAACAAGTCAAGAAAGGAACAACCAGTAAGAAAGCCACCTGCTTATTGTTGGTTTTTGCTGGTCTTACTATTTGACTCTGAAGATGGAGGTAGTACATTCCTCTGAAATATTGGCAGACTTCTACCAAGCTACACGGCAGTACAACCCAGAACGTTATGTTCTTCACAGTTATGACTGAGAGAACATCAAATCAAGCACTGTAAAGGTATTATACGTTATTTTTTCCAGCCAGTTGTTTGGAGAAGATGATCCTGATGAAGACGTGTCACCAGATACAGCAGACCCAGAAGCTGCAGGTATGTGAATGTTTCTCAGTGTTTCTTGTCTGTAATTCTAAAACATTGTGAAGTAAGATTATGTGGAATGTACCTGGTAAGGTAACATACTGTGGCGTACTTGCTCCATGTAAGAACAGCTGAGCCACAGAAACAGCTGTTTCTAAGTAATACATGCAAGCAACAATGGAACAATGGGATTATGCAACTTGCTTCTAGGCAACGGCTCAGTAAACATACTTCTTCACAGGCACAATGATGTCACATCGCAACAATGCTTAAGTATCATGTGACGTGTGTTCTCTCTGTGGTCTGTGCTATGCAATAGTAGAACCGTGTTTTCTGCGTTGTCCATGCCGCAGCTACATAACACCAGTCTGCTTGCAGCTAAGAAGTTTTTTAGTGAGTTCGGAGGTTCCATGATGATTGAACAAGAAATGGCAAGAAGACTTAATAGTGATTTCAAGCGTTAGTTTCTATGTTTTAATTGCATTGCCAGGAGATACCTGGTGTGTATGTGTGTGTGTGTATAACAGTGAATTATAAAGTGCAGAAATAGTGATAGCTCTATAATTACATGTAATTACTGGTGGTCTGTATAAGGAGTAAATAAACCCATTCATCCAATCCAGAACCCACGTTATTAGTCACTAATACACTTAACAATGCCATAATACCCAAATACAAGATGATGACATGAATCAAAGTAACCTTTGACCGAATGTTTCTTGGCCATACATAAATTGAAGTCATTATTCTGATCAGGTGATGCAGGGGAGGATGCCCTCAAGATTTCCACAAATGAGAATGGTAATGTTCAGCGTGTGTCAACACGAAATTGGGCACAGTCATGCAAGTATGATCCACAAAAACTGTTCCACAAGTTGTTTCATGATGACATCAAATATTTGCTCAGTATGGACAACCTGTGGAAGAAGAGAATACCTCCAACACCCCTGTTTTGGGGGAATCTTCCAGATGCTGGTAAGTAGAGAAAGCTAAATATGCTTTGATAAAGTTGTGATTAGTTTAACAAGTCAACAGTGCTTTCTAGAATTGGCAAAGTGGTTGAATTATTTATATAAACATTTTGTTGAATTTCTTAGTTTTGAGGAAGATACCGAATATTGCATTTCTTTAGACCTTCCTTGCTTAACAGCTTCAAATTTCATCATCAGCATATCCAAATCCAGGAATCAAATATCCTAATACTCTTTGTATGATTTGTGATTTCGTTTATTTAAATATTTGGACACGTTTTAAAATGTTTCCATTATGTTCATGGGGCTTGTGGTAGTGTAGTTGGTTGAGGCACTATGCTACAAGCCAGGTGGTCTTGGGTTCAATTCTTAATGAGGTAATTTGATTTTTTAAGTTTACCTAATCATTCCAGCACACTATGGCCCGGAGTTGACTGAGTCCCTAACAGAAAGGAGTACTGGAAATTTTCTTTGGATGTAAAGGGCTGCCAGTGTGTAAGGCTGACCAGCTTACTGCCATCTGTGAGCCGACAGTCTATAAGATGTTGGATTCTTGATGTCTCAGCCCAATTGGCCTTCACAGCTTCTAACAAGGATAGCTTTAACGTTTTACCTTCTACCTTCCATTTTGTTCATGCCATGCTGGTGTTTTCACATTCAGTGCTGTATTACGTCTAGTTTGCTTGAAGTGCTTGAAGACTGTTCCATAATGTCTTTAGTTGCAGGTAGCAGCAGAAATGAAAAGGAAAGTGGATTGAAAGATCAGAAAATGTGGAGTATTGCTGAGTGTGCTCAGATATTTGCCAACAGCTGCAGAAATCTTAAGAACCAATTTGAGGTAGAAAAATGCTTAAATCTTTATATTTTGGTTTAGCTCTAGTGTTACCATTATGTTCATCAGAAAAGAATGTCAGTGTTTTTACCATTATGCAGAAAAAACATGAATGATTCTTTCTATACAAAGGACATGTAGAATCTGTCTCTTATATGTCTTACACTGGTATTCCATTCTATGACAGGATCAGTCATAAATACCTTTCTTGATTATTTCAGGTGAAAACCATAACTCAATCAGTTTATTAAATCAGTCACACTACTTGTTTTGTTCTCTTTGGAAATTATCAGGTGTGTAAGAATAAAAAGAATAAAATATGTTTATGCCGAATTGTATGTTGAAAATAGGTCCATTTATCAGTGTCATAGGTTTAAAAATTGTGTGTATGTTTAGGGGTGATTATACAAAAATATATTTACAATGTTCTTGAATTATTAAATTTGTCAAATGCTCTAAAGAGCAGAACGTTTCAGAAACTGGATCTATTTCCATCTTCAGGTGATAGGGTGGGAGGCACGTGCTCAGTAAGCTCTGTAAGGAAGAGCTAACCTCAGTCACAGATTGTGAGGTGCTATGTTCTATATATTATTAGATGATGCAAAGATCCAAAATCTCAGCAATCCTAAGTGTTACATACCTTAAAAAAAAAAAAAAACGAAACATTTTAGTCCGCAAGCCAACTATACTGACCAAGCGACCACCGCTTGTCGGCGAAGTTTAGTGCCAACTTTTGTGGATAGATGGTGTCGCGTGGTCAGCGTAATGAATTCCCACGGCCGTCAATTTCGGTTTTCTAGACTGGAGCCTCTATTTCCTTGAAATAGCTCCACGATTATCATCACAAGGCTGAGTCGACCCCGTTCCAGACCCACTACTACTCCGAAAAAATCTGGTAGTGCCGGGAATCAAACCCGGACCCCTGGATCTGTAGGCAGGAACGCTGACCACTAGACCACAGAGGTGGTCGTTACATACCTTCATCAGAACTATTTATAATTGACAGACATTTTCCTGTTAAAGGATATTTGTGCAGTGTTAAATAATATTAATTACAACAGATTTCTCATCAAGCAGTTCTGGCCTTAAAACATTTTTCACAGAGACATAATACAGTAACATTTTTGCTTTTTAAGATTAACTGTGGCCATGATTTTTGACCTGTGGGTCATGGGAGTGCCCTACTTGGGTTCCTGAGTTAAAGTAAATAATTTATAAAATTACATGTCTGAAAAATCACTTCTGTTCATAACGAAAATAAGCATCTTTCAGCTGCATTTGTTCCTGTTGCACAGTAGAAGGCAGATTCTCAATTATTTAAAGAGCTGATCACAGCGCAGTTCACCTGGCCAACTGATTATTGTTTCTGTTAATGACTTGCTTATTATCCTTCAGGGAAAATTTACTCAAGACATTTGAAAATCTCTGGATTATGGTAATTGAAATAAGTTTCTAATTGCTGGTAGCTGTAAACTAGCCATTTTTGTATATCAAGGGCTGTAAGTGAGGAACATTCAGTCCATACTGAAGATCCAAGATGGCTGAAGTTGATTTGACTCAGCAGTCAAGTGTTGTCATAGATGGGTTATATTCTGTGTGTATGGAAACAATCTTATCTTCAGCAGCATAGCCTTGTTACTATAAACACTGTTTCTACCCCATCATTGGAAGTGGTATTCCATGATGCACTTCAGTAAGCAGTGAGATATTTTCTCTTCCTGTATTTATCAGGGTTGAAGTCTGTGAAGGACTTATCTGGAATGCTATGAAGGTTCAGTTCTGCTGCTTGCAGTAGGTCGCCTACCTCACCTGGGCATGTGGGCTTTCTGACCCTATGAGCCATTCTGACAACTGGTGATCCCTGTTATTCCTTGTTTGCTCATGGGCATATTCCTTTTATATCTTACAGAGGAATAATATTATATTTCAACATCCTGTTGCATTGAGGTATTATTCAGTTATATGTACACCATCAGTAATGCAAGAACGATATTTAAAATAAATAAAATAGAAGACACCTAAAACATATTCTTCACTAGAAGTGTAGTTTTTATACTTTAAAATGTTATTAAATGTTATAAAATGTCATTAAGACACTACATGTATATAATTTATACTAACAGTGACTATTAAATACTTTAGAATATCTTTAATTTATATCATATGTTCTAATTTGCAGCATGTTTTGGCCACACATGGGCCATCATCTGGCAAATTTTTGATTGATGAGGAGACAACTGTACTGTTCACTTGTCTTCTCTGCTCTCTGGCACGTTGTTTTTCTGTTGTGTCACATATCTAGAACTCCATCATTTCTTTTTGCAGCTATCACAGTTTTGTATGTTTTCTCTTGTAAGTTTGTCTTTAGTGCGGTCTTCTCGTATATGAGAAGTGACAATGTACATAACGTGACGTGGATGGTGCAACGCTCTGTAAACACNAGAGGTGACATAACATCATCAGAGCAACTGCTGCTGCTACGGTAACAGGCCAGTCAACACTCCGTCCCCCTCCCCCACAGTGACGTAACAGGGGACACTGTGGTTACTACACAGCAATAAACAAGTCTCGGCAGTGTTCCCCAGCAAACCTGATGTTACGCAACAGTGGTAGTTATCATGTAACTGTTTTCTGTGTTGTCAGTGCGGAAGCTACATAACAAGAGAATTACCAGAGTAACCAGTCACACCTGTGTGGAGGCTGGGTCAAATACCTCCACCGTGACCCCGCGAGTCATAGGAGGCGACGAAACGGGAAGTCTCAAATCTGAGACAGTAAAATATGGTCTCGAGTACTAAGTGACTTGGACCTGAGAAAGACTGTGCTGCTAAGGGCCAGCAGCATATACAAAAGACAGACTCGTCCTTTCGTCAGAGATGGCGCCCCACAGAAACAAGACCGTAACTGTCAAACAGTAATAAATATCTGGTCATGAGCTGCAGATGGGGCTCGACACCAATACTTAATGACTGACTGACTGTCAGTTGCAATGTGACTTTGACTTGAGTAACCAGTCAGTTGCAGTCTAGCATTTGCCAGAGTGAGTTGAAGCCCATTGTTATTGAGTTGTATCATGTGAGTGGAAATGACTACAGAAGAAGTAATTGTGATACTGCAGATGGCAGTAACTGTGAAATTGTAAATTGTGTAATTGTGAGAGCGAATGTGCAATAAATTCGTTATATCGAATACGGTGTGAAGTTATTTGTCGTGTGACACACACCCAACACGTGACGATATATTAAATAATTACAGAGGAAGTATTTTGTTCAATCATCATTGTATGTTTGTATGGTGTTGCAGTCCTTGAAAGAGGATGATCACTTGGTTTGGGATAAGGATGACAAGAATGCAATGGACTTTGTTGCATCATGTGCCAATATACGAGCTCACATATTTTCTATACCTCAGAAAACCCGTTTTGATATTAAATGTAAGTATAATGTTCCTCAGGTTATAGTAATACAATAGGAAATAAATAAATTGTAAAGAATTGTAAAGAAATAAATTGTAAACTATTGTCACCAGTTTCATTAGTGCATTTTGTTTCTCAAAGCTATGGCCGGCAACATCATCCCTGCAATCGCGACAACAAATGCCATCATAGCTGGCATCGTAGTGCTGCATGCCTTCAACGTGTTGAAGAATAATTTTGAGAGTTGCCAGACAGCATATTTAAGGCCAAAACCAACCCACCGAAACCAACTGATTGTGCCAGAGAAGTTTCTGAATCCTCCAAATCCAAAATGCTATGTTTGTTCTCCAAAGCCTGAGGTTTGTTTTTATAATGTCTGTTATTAAAAGGATATTGCTAATTGTATCTTAATACATTTGACCTTATTTCTTGGGTTCTAGTTGAATGCTGACTTAGATATTTGAAGGAAGTGTACCATGAAATCACAGATAAACACACAGAAGACTGATATATTTGTACAGCTGTATGATAGCATACAGTTCATATGTGTGTGTGCGCCTAGTTGTTTCTCCTCCCATCCTCATATGAGGTGCCTGCTCAGTTGGGTCTGTTAGATAGGGCTAATTCCAGGACAGTCAGTAATCTTATTTTATTGATTTTAATTGTTTCTTGCATCCTGTTGTGTATTTAATCAATATTAGAGTCAATTTTACTGACTACACAACACGTTTTTATTATTATCACACTACATGTTTCAACCTCAAGCGGTCATCCTCAGGTGTATGAACAACTGTATAATTACACGCAATCACATTCATTTTTCCACTTATTTGACGCTGCATCTTATTCAGGCTTACGCTCAATGATATATCAAGCTCTTCTTATAAAACACAAGTTAAAATTTAAAATTTTAAAATTTCGTGAATCGAAGTTCGACTCAGATCACTGGTTATACTTTCACTTTCACTTGTTTTTCAGTCACTTCCTACTTATGCTCACCACTGTGTCCAGTTCACTTCATCTAGTTTAATTACTACCACTGGTTAAAAGTTCATGAATTAAAGTTCAACTTTATTATATTGGTTGCACTTTCACTTTTTTGGGAGATCTCGCTGTTCTTCCGCGTCCTCTGATGCTGCTGGATCTGTTAATGATCCTTGTCGTGATGGCTACACCTGAGGATGACCTCTTGAGGTCGAAACATGTAGTGTGATAATAATAAAAACGTGTTGTGTAGTCGGTAAAATTGACTCTAATATTATTTTATTGACTTCGGTTTTCCAGTGATTGGAATTAACTTTTTGTAACATACCCAGCTGAGTAATTGGCCTTCACTGGAGGATGGTAGCAGATCCAGCTCTTGAAACATATCTCATTTCAGAATAATAGATTATACACAAAGCCTAGAAAGCTGACAGTGTTGAGTGTAATGATTCATTGTCAGGACCCTTTAGAATTGGCTCAAGTGCATTATGTTTATGTTACCAAATTCTTAGCTTGTGACGAACGAGGACGTGAATAATGTTTTTCAGGTTACTCTCTGTGTTGATGTAAACTCCATGACAGTAAAGGATTTAGAGGAGCAGGTGCTGAAAAAGACACTCAACATGGTGGCTCCAGATGTGATACTAGATGGAAAGGGAACTGTAATCATTTCTAGTGAGGAGGGTGAGACCTCAGAGAATAATCCAAAGAAGCTTGGTGTGAGTTACTTTTGTTTTTATAGGCAGATTGTAATTTTATTCCTTTATAGAAGGAATACTAATCATTAGACTGATGTTTCATAGTTTGCAAGACAGACAGATTTTCAAATTAAATAATTAAAGAAGAATTGATTATGTTCCAGTTTTGTGTACCAGTATACCAATTTTACTGTATGACTATGCTTAAAGGAACCTCAATTCTCTTTCTTTTTAGGAACTTGGAATTGCAGATGGAAGTATTTTAAAGGTGGATGACTTTCTTCAAAACTATGAACTTAGTGTTACAATCATTCAAAGGTAACTGAAAAGCTAGCTGTTGAACATATTGTTTTCTATGCAGTACATGTGCTGTTAGGTCCTCGGAACTCTAGCCGTGGCAGAGGGATCATACCATCTCGCGTGGAGCTGGGGGGGCAGTCTTATTAGCTTATGTCAGTGTGAGTACTACCAGTTTGGAATGTAGCATCTTGGAGTGTGGTCATGTGTATAGTAGTTAGTTATTTTGAGAGGGTGGGTTTCCCTATGCACCGCGACCAGTTTGATCTATTGTGCTTCCCTCTATGATATTCTATCAGTCTCTTTACCCTACCGATAAATGGTGCGTACCATCAGTCCTGCCGAGCAAGCGAGTTCGGCCACTTGCTTAGCTGTGTCTATAATACTTCCCCCATCTATTGGAGGCCTTAGAGGCTATTGTTGGGCGGGAAACGTCCTGGAATTTGGCTCAGTGATCCCCTTTGGGGATATGAGGTTCTTTTACGTGCCGTAAAGTTACGACACGGGACACACAGCTTAAAGTCCCTCCCGGAGGACTTGTTCCCTGAATTTTTCCGCCCTTAAAAATTCGACGACCTCTGCCGGGTATTTGAACCCGCGTACCACGAGTCGTGAGGTGGGAACGTTACCTCTAGACTACGGAGGCTGCCAGGTGTATAGTACGTTGTGTTGCTTGTTTGTTGGTCTCTGTAGGCAATGTTTTCTGCTTGAGGAGTAGCTCTGAACATCATCACAGCAAGCGTACAGCTTTGCGTGCTCCACAACAGTGTTTACCTTTCTGCTGGCTAAAGTTACGAGGCACTAACTATAGTATTAAAGGAAATTATATGATTAATTGTTCCCCGTACTTCTTGTGTGTGTGTGTGTGTGTGTGTGTGTGTGAGACAGGTTATTCACATTAACAGCTATGCATTGCTGACATTGCATATGAGTAATTTTCTTGTATGTTTGTGCAACAAAAAGTAATTTATTTTACTGCTGCAGTATTACAAACAGTAATTTGTTATACACCTGGGGTAATTATGTAGAAGCACAGTTATTTCACATGTACACTGCCACAGCTGTCCGATGTAGGTAACCTCAAATTGAAGTGATAATTTTGAAATTAAAAACAAAAGTGTTACTAAACTTAAGGACAATTTTCATAGATTGAATCTCAAACTTTTGAGTCTTGAATTTCCTTTCAGGGAGGCATACCAAACATTGTTTCTTTTAACATGGAAACTTTGCTGTTATTATAAATTGTGATATTCATAAACCTTTATATAATGGGTACTCATGCTTATCTCTTTGTGTACAGGCTAGTTCCAAAGGATGGGCCTGATTTTGAAGTTGTTGCTGATCCATCACAGCTGAAACCAAAGGATGATGATAAAGTAGAATCATCAACAGCTAATGGTATAAATTATTTTCATGCATGTTGGGTCCTCTCCTTGAACAAGTCATGTTGTTGTTTTTCCCATAACTAATTTTTGTGCTTGTTTACTCAGTATGATGCAACTCAACTTTTAGATAGGACAATAATGTAACTGCTTTTTTAAAGCTTATGTAAGCAGCACTGGAATACAAAGAAGTTTCAGATTTAATTTTACTGTGTGTAAGGACTGCCAAACCAAAAAAATAAAAATACCAATCTATATTGAAATTGTATTTCATCAAACAATTAGTGTGTGCGCACAAACATTTCAGTGAAAAATATTGAACAAGAAGCTTAAAATCAAGTAGCATTTATGTAAGATTTGAGGCTTTCACGGCGGTGACTATGAAGAAAGCAGTCTTCTGGGATTTGGCACCGTGTATATGTGGTGTTAACCGACGTTTCGGAGGAACGTATCGCCTCCATCTTCAGGGTAGAAGAAAAAATATAAGAAATCTGCAAGCGGAGAGACCGTGAGAACCGGTAAAAGCAGACAGTCTGCTTTTCTTATATTTTCTTATATTTCTTATATTTTTTCTTCTACCCTGAAGATGGAGGCGATACGTTCCTCCGAAACGTCGGTTAACACCACATATACACGGTGCCAAATCCCAGAAGACTGCTTTCTTCAAGTAGCATTTAATTTAACATATTCAGTTTATTCACATTTTTAATGACATTTATAATATGCTACATATTTTACAACTCTGATCCTGTAAGGTGTGAGAGTTGTTCAGGTGGATCCCATATGCAGCACTGCTTAGTGAGTTAGAAATTGGCAGCATGTCTAAGATAAATGTGAATTGAAACTCAGTATGATAAGTAGCTAATAAATCACTGTCTTTAGCATGTACCCCCATCTGGCCATGTCATAACTCAGGCAGTTAGTCACCAGCTTCTCACCATAGAGAAATGCATGTATGGTTTTGATGGAAAAGACAGAAGGAAAGAGATCACTAGGGAGATCTAGATGTAGGTTGGAGGATAACATTAAGATGAATCTTGGAGAAATAGGATGGGATGGTATAGACTGGATTCATCTGGCTTAGGATAGGGACCAGTGGAGGGTTCTTATGAACATAAGATCGAAAAGTTTGTAATGATGATACATCAATACAAATATTATGTTTTTTGGCAATATCCATCTTCCTGTTTTTATTTAAAAACACAGCATTTTGGAGACTGGAGTCTGTCTCTGTCTTGAGGTAAAACCTACTCTCTTAGACACCTGTACCAACACCATATAGGGTATACAAGCCAAGCACAGTACAGACAATCTGCAAGAAGTCAAAAAACAATCGAATCCAGTGTAGATTGAGTGGGAAAATTTGTGTTTCTTGTGTTGGTACCATATGGAGAATTTGTCTCTCCAGTGCTGACTTCTATTCCGATAGTTCTCTGATGCAAAGCCTCATGCATATGGAGTTTTTAGTATTTTAATGTGCTGTAGCGTAGCTGGTTGAGGCACTATGCTAAAAGCCGGAAGGTCACAGGTTCAAGTCCCGATGAGGTCATTCGATTTTTTTCAATTGACCTAATCCTTCCAACCGCACTATGGCCCTGGAGTTCACTCAGCCTTTAACAGAAATGAGTACCAGGAATTAATTAAATAATTTTCCTGGGGAGTAAAGGACGGCTGGCGCATAAGGCTGATAGCCTTATCACCATCTTTGAGCCGATCGTCTAGATAATATGGGCCCCTCAGCATCTCACAACCCTATGGGCCTTCACAGCCTGTTACAGGGATACCTTTCCCTTTTTTTCTTTTTAGGTGAACCAGATCAAGATGATGATATACTACAAGTGGTGGAGGAAGATGATGATAGTTCCCAGCAGTTTGATTCCAAGAAGAGAAAAACAGATGGTGAAACAGAAGGTGGCATTTCAAAGAAGCGCAGAACTGAAGATGTTATTGTGGTTATTTGAGAGGACAGGTAATGGCAAGTGTTACAAAACTGCAGTTGGTATAGTGATAGGCCACAGGCTGGATGGTCTGGGTTCGATTCCCAGCAGTGCCCAGACTGACCCTGGGGCCTACACACCTTCCTATTCATTGGGTATGGGGGGCTCTTTCCCTGGGAGTAAAACAACAGGCATGAAGCCAACCCCTCACTTCCATCTAGTGCAAAAGTTGAGGAAGGTGGAGCTATACCACCACACTCTCATATGTCTTTATGGTTAGTGCTTAAGTAATTAAGCAGAGAGATAACTTTACTTTTACTTCTACATGCTGATTTTAAAGACAACAATTTTATTCCTACAGAAATTGATGAAATGCACCAAATAAAAAAAGAGGTGGTTTTCTAAGGCAGCTATGAAAAAAATGCCAGTCGAATGTAAGTGAATGAAAGTATGTATAAACATTAAACTCTTATTATGAAGTTCTGCTGTAAATTGCTTTTCAAATTAACCATATTACCACTGAATGAAAGTGGGGGAAAAAGAAATAAATACAAGTTTTTTAAAAATAATAATTATAATTTATGAAATATATTCCTTTACATGATCTAGCACACATCTTACACCCATACTGTGTTAATACAGTAAATTACTGATTTAATGTTCTCAATTTTAGTGAATTTTTTTTTCTGGCTCAAAACAAAGGCAAGTATGAAAAGTGGACTATTTTCTTGTATTTAGTGAATTTAAATTATGTTAATGCCCTCATTCAGCATGAGAAGTTTGACCTTTCAGAACTTGTACCTCAATTTACTATGATTGTTGGTGATGGAGCAATCAATATACACATTTTCTCTCTGCCAGAAATTGTTTCCACACAAAAATTATATTTATTACAAACATCATTTATTATTTTAGAAATCAATTTGATTCTGCCGATTATGTAATGATATTTACACATATTTTTGTAGAAACTGCTCCTCTGTGGTCTAGTGGTCAGAGTTCCTGGCTGCAGATCAAGAGGACCTGGGTTCGATTCCCGGCGCTACCAAATTATCTGAGAAGTAGTTTTTCTGGAATGGGGTCCTCTCAGCCTCGTGAGGATAATTGAGGAGCTATTTCAAGGAAATAGCGTCTCCAGTGTAGAAGCGAACACACTCCACATCCAATCCCGGATATGACGTCACACCGCCACCTCCACTACCCCTCCCTCTTACACCACCACCAACAGGGATACCAACTCCACGCAAATTTCCTTCCAGATCAACTACCCTTCGCCTTCTTACGTGATAAAACGTATACCTTCCTCTCACACGTTCATCTCCTCTCAATAAAATAAAAAAATGCCTTAAATATGTCTCCTTCTGTCCATTTATATACCTATTCAACTTGTACAGTAAATATACTATAGCATTATCCACCAGACCATTACCAATATAAAACACTGCCAATTTTTCTAGGTCTCGCTGTCCTAAATAACTACAAAACGTTTTCAGCAGTATATATCTTGGCCATTCTCTCCTTGGTCCCACAATAGCCTGCGCATACAACCATGGATGACGAATAAATCTTCTTACGAGGTCCTCCACGGGTCCCGCCCTTTCCATGGGCTTCTAGACAGTCCCTCCGTAGACCTCGGCACCTGAACTTTTAATAAACATCCCCCGGGATATAGGAACTCGGGTGCGCTACAGTAAAAACACACAATTCACATCACATCAATTCTCCTCTTTATTATGACCATACAATACAAAGTAATAGTACCATCTAACCCTCATTGACACCTCTGCATAATACATTGTGTGTGGATCCTTAGGATCAAAATTCTTTTCATTGCTAAACGGCCCAAACTGTACACTCTCTTCCAAAAAAACTATTACATGGCTGCATCTTAATAACACAGTCCTTCATTGGCGTCGTCTTATCACACAATATGCTCGTCTCTATACCATTCTTACACTTTGGATAGAAATACACCCTCTTCTTTAACCTCCTGCTCATCTTGTATGTTCGCAACCCATCTACAACATCCATACAACTGAACACTTGACTACCAATATATGTCTTATCAAATATTATACGCCTTGTTTCGTCAGGTTCATTCGGACTTGCAATATATACGAAATTTTCTGGATCTGCCATCATTTTCTTATGTTTCGGACTATCCATTTCCCTTACCCTCGGAAACAATTGTGGGGAACAATTGCACTGACCACATTACACCTTCTATCTGCAAAAGTTGGCACCAAGTTCTCCAACAAGCAGCAGTCGCTCAGTTGGTATAGTTCACTTGCGGACTACAGTCCATGGAGAAACTGCTCCTGTTAACTATTCATATAGAGAAATTTGTCATTATGTACTGTTTTATATAGTAATTCTCCCAAAGACTTGTTAATAGATGTCATCTGTATGTCATGCAAGCAGTGAAGACTTAAATTTGATCACTTTCATTTGTGTTTACAATGAAGTCATTCTGTATCTCCCATTTCATATCATCCTCAGCCTAGTCACTCCTAGCAGAGCATATGAAATTATTGAATATATGGCATAATGCATACTATGATCTGTTTCGTAATTAAAAGCCTTATTACCATACAGTGCTCTGATGGTAAATAATAGGAAAGATATATGGGATCACTTCTTTTTAATTTTAGAATCTGAATTAAGTGGTAAATAATAATTCAGTGTTTGTTTTTTCAGTGCATTAACGTTCATATATCATTTAAGAGATTAAAATGGCCTGTTGTTTACATTTTTTGTGAATCTTATTAAAGATGTATACAGAAGATTAAAGAACATGTTCATATGAGCGTTAAGTAGAAGTTTATTAAAGATGTGTCATACAAGAAATAAGTAACATTATTGTTTCAGTGCTTTTAAGAAAAGCATGTGCTTTAGTTAATCATGTATAATGTTGTATTTTAGCGTCCTGTTGCACTTATTCGTATCCATAATTTGTATATATAACCCTTCTTTTAGTGCATACAGTTTCACTTGTCACTTCACACTACATGTTTTGGCATCATTCTGCCATCCTCAGGTGTATTAATCACGTTAAACCATTACACTGCCTGCCATCAAGTGTTCATTTATAAAATGATATAAAATGTGTGTTCGTCATTGTTCAATAATAAATTTATATATTAAAACTTTTTAAGATCTATCATGTCATATATAAAACTCATGTGTAATGCCATTCATCCTCTATGGGAGTCGTTCTTCTTATGTTTTAATTGTGTATATACTGTGTCTTTCTTATGTGGCTGCATGCGTTGTATTGCTGGACGTATGTGGCAGAATGATGCCAAAACATGTAGTGTGAAGTGACAAGTGAAACTGTATGCACTAAAAGACGGTTAATATATACACATTATGGATAATCATGTATAAATATGTGGTCTGAAATGTTTGGTCTTTGCTGTATGGCCCTTATAAATTTATTGTATGTTGACAGATCCTGGGACTGTGTTCTGCAGGGGTCTGTGTTATATGCAAGGGTAAGTTGATTAATAAGGTGGATTTACATTTTTTTTTTTTACATATTTATGTACTCCCTGTTACATAGCCTCATTGTCAGTCACTGAAATAAATGTGTTCATTTGAAAGAATCAGCGACTGCACTTGCCAAATTGAGAACACAGGACATAGTGATGAAATCAATGACTTCCCAGTAGATGTCACAAGGGAATTACTTTGAATAGGACAGAATGGAATATAAAGTAAATACAGATGACTGAAAGAACTGGAATCTAGAAATTATTCGATCATGCCACATATTTTTAATTATTCAGTAATGAATTTTACTGCAAATAAAACACCTGAGTAAAATATCCAGTTAATATTAAGGTGTACATCATACTTACTAGCACAATTATTTACTGTCCTTTATTTAAGGTTTTCATTGTGGAAATCCATTATTTTGGGGGGCAACACTGAATTGGGATTTCACTGTAGCCACTCACAGTTTATTTAATCATACCTAATAGATTTTGGTAGTGGTACATTTGTTAAGCCACTTTTGTTTTGTGCACAGTTCATATATAGCTGTGGTGAATAATGGAACATCTGAAAGTCCAGACTGTAAATTTCATAGAGTGCTTTGACTTCTTCTGGAATTAGTTGCTGAAAATATTGACAGGTAATGTAGAAATCAGTCGAGCCACCAGAAGTTGGTTGAAGATGTTGAAGACTGACATTTAAATGTTCTAGTCCCATTTCACATACCACTCTAACTTCTTCATTTGAAAAATTATCCATTTTTATGATAGCATCATAATCAATACTACAAGGCCTACAGTGATCACTGTAACGGTTCCAATGGACATCATATTTGTTAGGTGATATTATTAATAACCATTCGACAAACTCTTTAAATTTTGGCACAATGGAAAGTTTTTGCTGCTGGTGGCTAATATGAAATATCTGGCTCCTATTCAGTGATGGCCTTGTGAGAGCAAAAATTCGGGGAACATATATCCAAGCTTGTGAAGTGAATCTTGAAGTATCTTCAATTCTATCACGGTAGGCAGACACCAGACGTTGAAACGGATGTCTCACCACAAGTAATCTATAATAATCATTTGTTGTGGCTATTCTGTGAAGTTCTTCTGCATTCTTTGGAGATAAAACTTTTATTTCCCTGTTGTGAACATAAAAACAGAACATTATCACCAGTGCCACCATCATAACCATTATAGATTAGTGTTATTCAGCTGTTTGGACTCAAGATTTTTATTCATAGATATGTGATTTTTGTTTTTATGCTTTATACTTTTTACAACTTTTGTTTGAAACAGTTTTTATTCTGGTGACTGCTTAAGCAAGTTGTGTGTGAATTATGTGTGAGACACATGCAGAAACACATTTTGAACTTCATATAAAGTGTCCATCACTTTTGTCTGGGTTTAACAAAAGTGGAAACGTACTGATAAGTTTTAATAAAACTCTGCAGTGCCAAATTTCATGGTAATCTGGTTAGCAGTTCTCAAGTTGTTGCATACAGACAGGTGACATGGCAAAGCTAATTCATGTATTTTTAAACCATTCATTTTGAATGAGCCAAGAAGAATAAATATTACCTTAACTGTGTTTGTTTTAATTTGTGCCATATTATGTATTTCAGCCATTTTCAGATAATTATGAGTATATAATGAGAACTTCTATGAATTTTATAAATTCTCATTATGTTGAGATTGCAGTCTGTTTTTATCATATTACGTTTCTGTTCTTAATCTTCTAGAATCATTCTAGCTTATTTTTTGCTAACAAATAGAACTGATGAAAGCCCAATAATAAGAATGGGTAGTAGTGAGTGTAAATCTATGAAAGAAGCTTTTCTTAATTTGGAAAGAGCAGCAAAAAAGATGAATCTACAAATTAACCAAAATAAAAGAAAGTACATGCTGGTAACCAAGAAAGACTGTGCTAATGGACCTACATATATTGAAATTGGCTCATATAAATTTGAGGTTGTATGTAGTTTCACTTACCTTGGATCAGAAGTTAACTGTAAAAATGATATCAGTGATGAAATAAAAAACCGTGTACTTGCGGCAAATAAATGTCTCCATGGCCTTAGGAAACACCTGAAATCCCAGTTAATACCCAGGAAAACGAAAACTGTGATGTATAAAGTACTTATAAGATCAGTGCTATCTTATGCCTCTGAGGCCTGGCCACTGTCAAGATCGGGTGACAGACTGTTAACTATATTTGAAAGGAGGATCCTAAGATATATCTTCGGACCAATGGAAGAAAATGGAATATCGAGGAAGAGGTATTACCACGAGCTATACAAACTATTTAATGAACTAGACATTATTGGATTTATAAAGATGAAAAGGCTTGAATGGGCTGGACACATAATATGTGCCAGCGAGAACAGAACCATCAAGAAAATGTTTAATACTAAACCAGAAGGAAATAGGAGAGTGGGAAGACCAAGGTTAAGATGGGAAGAATGTGTGTGGCAGGACATAAGAATTTTGGTTGTAAAGAACTGGAGGAATGTAGCATCGAATAGGGAAGAATGGCGAGCAATCCTGAGGAAGGCCAGGGCTCACAAAGGGCTGTCGTGCCAATGATGATGATGATGATGATGACGACGACTAGTGAGCGTAGTTATTTATCTAGAACAAGAATAATATATATTTATAGAAGTAGTGGTATCCTTTCAAGTCTACTGGTATAAAGAGAGTTAGGCAGTTTTGTTTACTCAAATAGAAAGCTACCAAATTATTAAAAGGCTAGTCTGCGGAAAAGCATTAGAAATGTGTGAGTTTACTAGCTATTTATCATTTATATCAGACCCTTCAGGCAAAACTGTGAAAGATAATATTAAAATTGATTCTAAAAGATACGTTTTGAAGATGTGAACTGGATTCAGCTGTTTAGGATAGAGCCCATTAATTGCTTATGGTGGTAATCCTTCAGGTTCTATGACATGACATTTTTTGATTAACTCAGTAACTGTCAATTGCTGAAGAAAGACTCTGTTCCATAGAATTCAGCTTGTGTGAATATATTATATTGCCCTGCCAGCAAATTTTTAGTTGTAGACATGTCACCAATAATTCTGTATCATGTTTCAGGTGGTCAGCCTATGTCTTATTCTAGTTGAAGAATTAAAACAATCTTTACCTGTAATATTCGGCAATGTGTGTCCTGTTGGCAAGGTGGCTAAATAACGCAATCCATGATGTAGAAGCAACTTTGTGAATCCAGCAGTATAACAGTTTATGTTCATGATTTACCAGGAAGTGACGACTTTGCGGTAATGTCAGGCCAACATTGATATGTGAGCAGATGTTTCTGATTTCTTCTGTGTTGAAAATCTGTGATGTCTTGAGAGAAAGACAGACATTTATTGGTTTGATGATTTGCATCCATTTTTTTATACATCTTAAATACTGTATATGCATAATAAAGTATCATTCAGAAAAATAAGCATTTGATACTTAATTTGCGTAAAGTTTTCATATGTTTGATTTCAGAGATTTGAAACATGAAAGAGATTGTACTCTTTATGGCCACCACCCTATTCATATAGGACAGTCAAAACCAATAGTTTGTCAGCTGTTTAAGCCACTGGGTTTTAAAGATACAACAGATAAGCAGATAATGTTTCCCCACAGAAGGCTGACAATCTACAATTTTTGTGATGTTTAATATTTATTACATCCTGTATGAATTCTAGAACTGAAAGCTGAACATATGTATGAAAATCATTATTACCAGAGTTCAGCTTTTTCGCCATTTAACAGTGCTTGGCAAAAGTTAAAATGACATTAACAAGATTAATTTTTCTTCACACTGAAGTTTAGTATTTCAGTTACAGTCAGAATGTGCTTAACATGACATTAAATAACAATACTACTGAAAATTTTCCAAACAGAAAGTCATTAAGATCACTTAAAAGTAGTGATTTAAGTTAAGACTTTTCTTCCAGCTTCTACAGTTTGTGGAAGTATATGTCTTCCTCCCAAGTCTGAAAAACTAGTAGGTAGAAACAAAGTATTGTATTTACACCTACAGATTCTGTGTAGCACTTCTTTGGTTGTACAGTGGAGATGTTATTTTGAAGCCAGTTTAATTTCTTGGATATCATTCTGTCCTTCCTGTCAAATTGAAATGTATCTTTAGATATGAAAGCTAAATGGAATGGTACAATTAACACAGCTGCAATTAAAGTGTACTTAGCAGCTTTTTGAGCCCGCACAATGTAAATGTAATTCATGGTTTCATTCTGATTGAAACTTGAGATTTATCCCTATTTGTCTGGTATGGAAATAGTGTAACACTGATATGCACACAAAGAGAATATTGTACTCGTGTAGTTAACTGTTCTGAGGTCTTAAGGAATCACTGTAATACTGGCAACTGTCAGTTCTCATGTTCCTATGTGGGAGGAAGGAGATACTGGAAGGGAAGTAGGTGCCTGATAAGATGGGGTATATCTTACTCCAGCAAGACTTGACAGCCAGTTCACTAGTCTGGAAACCAGATATGTTAAAAACTGAACATAATATGGGGGTTAGGGATTTGAATAGGTTAAAAATGTTTAAGGTTATGTTGATCAAAAACATTGAAAACAAGATGCTATGCATTGCCTTGGATAATATGGAAACTCCCATTTCTAAAGAAATTTTTATTTTCTTAGCCTTTCACATCAGCTGATACTGTTTGTGTTTTGTGCCAGTATTGATCATAATGTAGCCTGTGTTGGGGGGGGGGGAACAATGAAATATGCTAATCTCACATGTAAATAATAATATTCAACCATTACCAATCAGAAAAAAAAAAGAGTTCATTTTGTGTTCATTATAGAAACATTAATTCCATTTTAAGACTGAATGTTGGTAACATTAATATTAATACTGTAGTTTACTGCAGATGTAATTATATCCTGAAATAGCTCATTCCATTGCACATTGAAGTGCTTCTCAGTAAAGTTGCATTTTAATATTCTCGCATCGAAACCACGGCGAGATACGAATTGTTCGAAGCGTTGCATGACAACAGAAGGTTCATTACTATAGGATTCTGACGATGGTGTATAACACACTGATATATTGGGTTTTTGGACTTTATCCATCGTCCTGGTTTTTAAGATAACCATTATTTATTATTAATTTTTATTAGTTATCTTAAAAACCAGGACGATGGATGAAGTCCAAAAACCCAATATATCAGTGAGAAGGTTCATTGCATAGCAACCACCAAGGTTATAAAAGCCCAGCTTCGACAAGAGGAGTCAGTTGAAATATAGCAGCCGCCGTAGCAACAGTGAAGTAGTGGATAATAATTATACTCGTAAGTGTGTAAACACATGTGTTCAATAAAGATTCGCTAAATCCGAGACCCACCTAAAGTTATTTGTCGTGTGACATACACAACACATTACAGTATTTAAGTATAATCAACTAGCACACGCAAATGAACATTTTCAAAATTTGTTAAATGCATTCTGTAGAGTATTTCTCTTTTGGTCACATGACCCCTGTAAGTTGAAAATGTATTTTACGTGATGAGTGGGCAGTTATATTTTACTAGATGACACAGTTAATCAGTTTTGAGTAGAGTAGAGTAAGTGTGATTGAAGCAAAGAAAAATTCTACAATTCGGAAATTGTTAAAGAGCTAGGAGTTATTCACCCTGACTTAGTGTGCATTATAGATATACCAGAATACATATTAATTTTATTATTATGAATTTGAACAGCATATCCTAAATTCCAGTTTCTGTTAAACATGTGAAGTTCAGAATTATTTATCTTGTTTACCTTTGAAATTACATTATTTTTAATTAGCATTATGTTGAACATTGTATGTACGCAGCAGTAGTGTGTTTTACTGTGTGATGTTCAGTCACAAGGTCATCACTGTACACTTGACACCAAGTCCATTTTGTTTGTAAAACAAACTGTTCTGACCATTATTTGAACATCATGTATATTTGCAATGTAACCTGCACAGCCGTGAAAGTTGCCAGTAAAATTAAAAACAGAAAAATTGAGTAATTTAAATTTGGTTATAAATGAGGTTTGCATTAAAATTAGTATTTGTGCTCCCCATCAACTGGGTCGGAGTTTAATTCTGATGCAGTGATACTGGCACTGGCTCATGAGTGTTCACAGACTGCCAAAGAAAGGCCTATAGAATTATAAGGCAATAGGATGCTACAGTATAGAACCACAGTATTTTTTGGCATACTTGCAAGAAACAATGTGCAGGAAACCTGCTGCTTGACTGTAGTATTTCGTGTTTTTTTGCAGTCCTCGGACAAATGCATGGATCGGACTTCAAATTAAAACATGGCGGTTTCCTTCCTAATCATAACATACTTAGTTATTTTGCGAGATTTGGTTTCGCCATGCACATGGACAAAGACAGATGATAGAATAACAGCAAGATATGAGATTTTTCTAGGTATGGAAGGGAAACCCAAGAGACAGAACAAAGTTTGGAATGGTGTTACACGAAAGAAAGAAAACCATGAAGAAATTGAGGAGCTCTGGGAAGAAAAAGATCGACGGAGAGGTTTGGTTCCAAGATGGCGTTAAATGAAAACTCCCGTGCTCTCGAGGATCAACGAAAAGACGAAATTTTGCCCACTACTATTTTAATAAAAAATTTATTCCTTAGGTGTGGAATGTTGTGTGGACGGCATCTGACTTGAATTTTTTGATGAATTTATTTCGGGTTAACGTGCAATTATACTGTGGTTGTTATAATCCATGCACTAATTCCATAGTAACTATGAAAACTATAACGAGTGTATTGGTTCTCCTCAAGTCCACTTAGTGTTTACACACTGCCCGCAAGATTCTCGCTATATAAGATTTCCGCCTGCTGACCATCATGTTAATTTTAAAAACACTTAGCAATCGTTTTGTAGGATCAATGGAATGATGCGGACCGGTTCGACGGACATTACATTCAGTGGGAAATTCCGTTCATATGTTTCAAATGTTGGTATTGCTAAAAAACAAAATCCGAAGAAAAAAAAACCATTTCATATGTGTGTTGACTGGTGTTGCTTCGGTTGTACGACACAATGTGTAATTATTATTATTTAGATATATTACAAGGTAGCTATATACATTAATATCTCTGTTTAAATATGTGGTATTATTATGTTTACCTCTTTGGGTGGCATTGTAATAAAAGATAAGTAAATACAACTTTCTGTGTTTATGTGATGCAGAAACCGGTAAATAACCTTTACATTTGGAATATTAACAGTAATTTTATATTACTTTGTTTTTGTTTTAGGATATGGAACCATCTTATCCTGAAGTTAACATCTGTCACCAATATTAGAAGGCATCATTAAGACTGCATTATGGAGGATGGTGATATGGAAACTAATAATGATGGAGAAAATCTGAATCTTAGTTTCGGTGAAGAAATGGGTGATGAATTAAAATTGGACGAGATGCCAGAGTATGACACTCGTAGTGAGGTGAGTTCCTCCTCATCGGAAAGTGGCTCTAGTCAACCCAGTATAAGCTCCGTAAGTTCGGAGTCATCTGACCAGAAAAACAGACACTCAAGGCATAGGAGGGGTCATTCAAGAGACAAGAAGAGCCCAAGTCCAGAAGTGAAGAGGTCAAAGTCAAGAGAGAAGGGGAAGTCTTATGACTATATGACAAAACTGAATTATTTATTCAGAGATGCTCGCTTTTTTGTTATCAAGAGTAACAATGCAGAAAATGTGACTCTTTCTAAAGCGAAGGGGGTGTGGTCCACTCTTCCACAGAATGAGTCAAAACTTAATCAGGCATACAGAGAATCTAGAAACGTTTTACTTATCTTCTCAGTGAAAGAAAGTGGGAAGTTTGCAGGCTTTGCACGGCTTCATGGTGAATCTCGTAGAGATGTGTCCCCAATATCCTGGGTTCTTCCTCCTGGTCTGTCAGCCAAGGCCCTTGGTGGAGTGTTTAGAGTGGACTGGGTCTGTCGTAAGGAACTGGCATTTAATTCTACAATGCATCTTTATAATCCGTGGAACGATGGTAAACCTGTTAAAATTGGTCGTGATGGCCAAGAGATTGAGCCCAAAGTAGCTGAAGAATTGTGTCGTCTCTTTCCAGTTGATGAGGGAATAGAAATGACTCCTATACTTAGGAAATCTAAGGAAGCAGCAAAGATGGTGGTGAAGCCTCGTAGTTCACGTTACAGATATGATAGCCACCATAGACACGTAAGCAGTAGTCGCTTTCCACCTCGATCATCTTATAGTTGGCGTGGACGTGGGGGCTCCTTTGGCAGGGGGCGTCGAAAGTACTTTATAAGCAGCCGTAGTCGTATTGGCAATAGTGGCAGCATATACAAAAGCTCTTCATCTTCACGATCGCGGGACAGATTCTCAATGTGGTTTGGAAGTCCGAGAGATACCAGCAGACCATATAGTGGTGCAGCCGCAGCAGCTGAAGCATACGTAGCAGATTATATGCGATCTCTGCAACACCAGCTTCCACCAATGCCATATGCTCCTCCCCCAGGAATGTATGGTTCCTCAGCTTCATCTCCATATGATGCTATGCCTCCACCTCCACGCTACTATGATGGTTTGCCACTCCCTGAGTATTCATTGCCACCCCGGTCCAGCAGCCATTCAGATAAGCGTTCGTATGATCGCTCAGTAGATGAGTTCTTGTGGCGAACAAGTGAGAGACGAGATCGTGATAGAGATCATCATCGCTATAGAGAACGACGGTAAGACTGATATATTGCGTTTGTCCCCAAATTCTAATGTGTATGTATCATTCTGTATCCTGTACTTTACAGATGACCACATTAAATTCAGTTTAGACTGTTCATTGCAAAATGGAGTGGAATGTGACTGCTGCTGTTTTACAACATATTTAAAATGAGTCATAAAAAAACTGGATGTTATTAAGTAATATCAGTTGAGGTGTTGATAAAATACACTCATATGGATAAGATATGATCCACAGATTGAGATATTTGCTGATGTATTGGTTGGTCATGCAACACAGAATATGCTTTGGTACTACTGTGTCCATAATATTTTGACACTGTGATTTAGGACGAAAAAGTAAATAAAAGTCTTGACAGTTTGCCTTTCATTAGAGTTTGTAACTTTGGATAAAAAATGCATGAAGCCATGTAGTGTCAGTTACGATGTGTATATATATATATATATTCCTGTGTTTGTAATTGCCTCATTTACATCTTGGTGTGTATATTCTGTTTCTGAAATCTGTGGATGAAGTTTTTCTGATAATGTAGAATTGAAAATGCATATTAGAAGTACAGAAACGAATATATCATTCTTAAGAAGTGCAGCACTAATTTTGTTCATGAAATATGTGTATAGATTAAAGTATTACTGTTTTTTGAATGTAATATTAAGTTGAATTGTTGGAGGTTGTGCTGTATTCATAGTTTTGAATTACAGTGAATTATTCATTGTTTTTTAATTAGTATATTTTCCATACCTTACATGTGATTTATTCCACATTTCTGTCAGTGATTTAACTCTGTGATATTGAATGTTAAAGAATTTATTGAAGTAAATTCATATACTGTGTTTACATCAGCTTTTAAATTTCGCTTACAGAATTAATTGGGTATGCAATATGAGTTTGAACTGTAGTATTTAACACTAGCAATTTGTATTAAATATGTGGAGAGCTTTGTGGTAGTATTGTTACATAAACTTCACGTGGAACGGAAAGCAACCAATGGAAACAAACGCGCGTTTTCCCTTGGTTGTTATTCATCAGTATGTTAAAACTATAAAATTTATTGATCAATCACGTGTGTTATTTGGAGCGTTTTCAAGAACAGTACATGCTGATGGTTCTGTTAATTTGTAAAACTGACGCTGAATGGCGCTGGTGCAATTCATAGGAAACTGCTCGTGAGAATCCTGTAAAATTGGCCGGTGAAAGCGAGTGTGGCGTGTGAGGATTTGATTGCAGAATGTTGAGTTACTATTCCATAGAACCCTAAATGTCGTAAGAAACAGATTCACGTTCTGCGGCCGGAAGATAAATGTCGAGAAGGGTAATGTAAATACAGATATTTGCCAACAGAATCTTCCAACAAAGGTAAGATAAAATGATGCAAACTCGGAGGTAACGAACATTGACGTTATGTCTCGCGTGATACCGGCAGAGGCAATGATGTTATTTTCATCAGTTGGCAACGTCGCGATATGTATGCCACCTGGCGATTATTCGTTTGGAACGCACATTCGGGTTGTTGACTGGAGCAGACGAGGTTGGCGGAGGGCAGGTATTGTGAAGAAGTATGCAAACGGTTTTCCGAAGTGAAATGTGAGCATGGAGAATTTCGTAGGAACCGAGTGATATTTCTGCCGTTTTGAATATTAGGGGATATTTAAAGCCGTAAGTTATTTTGCTGTACAAAATCTTACCACTGTGCATTAGGGTGGGACGTGCAATGTGTGTGGGTCTGGAGGATGTGTATGAAGTGTTTTTACAAGGAAAACAATACAGTCAACAGTAATCTTCAACATGTGGTATGTGCTTTGTATTCTGTATGTTCTGTTTTAGGCGTAGTTTATAATTTTTAAGACATAGGATGCAAACATCTTGGTGTGCTGCTTTGAATAGTTCGAAAGTTCCAGTGCATCGTTTCTTGCAGTATAGTTCTATTTTGAGACGCACTGCCGTTATATGTGCCGATTTATTTTATTTTAAATTATATCGACAAATTTAAATGATCACAACTTTACCCACTCTTATGTGACATTGAGACTTACCACTAACGTTTCACTGGAAGTATAGAAACAGGAAATACTGGACAGGTATGAAGCATAAACTGCTTGTATACACATCGTTTGCAAAGAGAACTGATGCATATTTCTACTTTTAGTGTGATATGTGCTTGCGTTGTGCACAAGAACGTATACCTCATACGTTGCTATTAGTTCGCCAACGTAGACATGCGTAACTCTAGTTTTATAACAGGCCTGGGGCGGGAGATTATTGGATCGGAAGTCACTTAATGACCGCCGTATCAAGTGTAGTGTTTATATGCCGCTGAAATTTGATATAAATATGGCTGTGAATTGCATAGGCAAGATGGATTTGAAAAAATTGATGGAGAAGTGTTGCTACCAACATTCTCAAGGAGGGGTTGAAGAAAATCACTTAAATTTAATATTAAGAATTCCGTTCTTGAGAATTGAGGCTGGTAGTCCTTTTGCTGTAGTTAAGCTAAATCTGCTTATTACTTACTTATTTACTCATGGAGCTGAGCCATTCTGGAGGAGCCGCCAATTCTGCAGCCACTCAAGAATTTCCCAGCATTATATGGAACCCGAGGGTTCATTACCGTGTTCACAAGAACCCTCCACTGGTTCCTATCCTGAGCCAGATCTATCCAATCCATACCATCCCATCCTGTCTCTCTAAGATTCATTCTATTATTGTGCACCCACCCACGCCTTGGTCTTCCCTGTGTTCTCTTTCCTTCTGGGTTTCCCACCAATATCCTATACGCATTCCTCGTCTCCCCCATTCGTGCTACATGACCTGTCCACCTCATCCTCCTTCACTTAATCATTCTAATTATACTTGGAGAAGAGTACAAGTTATGAAGCTCCTCATTATGCAGTTTTGTCCAACCTCCTGTCACTTCATCTCTCTTCGGTCCAAATATACATATATATATATATCGAGAGAGAGAGAGAGAGAGTATGTAGCAGTAGTATACAGCTGAGGATTATAATTTCTTTCTCACCATTTAAGCCCTTCAGATGTGCTTTTTGTTTGTGTGTTGTAGGTGTAGAATTCAAACATTGTTTCAGAACAGTTTTTAAAAAGTCAGTAAAAAGTAAAGTAAAGCTATCCCTGTAACAGGCCGTGAAGGCTCATAGGGTTGTGAGACTTGAGGGTCCCACATTATCTAGACAAACGGCTCAAAGATGGCGGTAAGGTTGTCAGCCTTACGTGCCAGCCGCGCTTTACTCCCCATGAAAATTATTTAATTAATTCCTGGTCCTCATTTCTGTTAGAGACTGAGTCGACCCCAGGGCCATAGTGCGGCCGGAAGGATTAGGTCAATTGAAAGTATTCATATTGCAGCTGGTATAATTGCTCTGTGGATTAGTCCCTCCCAAACTTGAAAGGTTTTCCTTAGAAGCATGACGGATTTCTGCCACTTCCAGGGTGGTTAATTCCTTTTCTTTTTTACTGTATAGAAATTTGTTATTACATGCTAAAGAAGAATATTAAAAAGGTAAACTTACCCCTGTGCTTAATTAGGCAATCACTGTGCAATTTAAGATACTGGGGAAATGGACGTGTAGATCCACCTTTCTTGACCTCGGCACTAGATGGAGGCGAATGGTCAGCTTCATGTCCCTGCCCTTTTACCCCCAGTGAAAGAACCCCCGGCACCCAGTGGCGAGGAGGCTGGGAGGGGTCCACTGTGGGTCTGGACGCAATGGAGAAAAAAATCTTTCATTGTCAAGATTCGAACCCCGGCCTTCCAGTCCGTAGCCCGTCACTATATCGACTGAGCTATCCCGACTCCAAAAATGTATATAAATATATATAGTTAGAAAAGTAAAGATCATAAAAATATGTTGCACATTCTAGCAGATAAATCGCCACTGTTAAATTAATGAAATATGGATTCATTATAGTTCATAAAAGGTAAAGTTATCCCTGTAACAGGCCGTGAAGGCCCAAAGGGTTGTGAGAAGTCGAGGCTCCCGCATCTTCTAGATAATCGTCTCACAGATGGCGGTGAGGTTGCCAACCTTACGCGGCGGCAACCCTTTTACCCCCCACCCACGTAGATTCCTGGTACTCATTTCTGTTAGAGGCTGAGTCGACCCCAGGGAGGTTTAGAAAAATTGAAAAAATCCACATCGGGACTCGAACCCGCGACATTCCGGCTTGTAGCATAGTGCCTCAACCAACTACGCTACTGCGTATCCCCATTATAGTACACACACATACACACACACACACACACACATATATTCGGAGAGTAAAACTACAAATCCAGTAAAACTTAAAGGGATTTTTTTTCTTCAGAAATGGCAGTGCTGCCGTGTGAGAAAGAAACCGTATGACAGGGCAGAGTTCACCGCCACAGTCACGGCAACATTCTGCTCGCAGTGTATGTTAAAATGGCAGTGTCGTATGTGTCTCATATTGTGTTGCAATTTTCATTGCGCATTAATTTTCCAATGTCCATTATGAATTGTGGTATACACTTTTTTATTTTCTGAAGATGTTCACAAAACTTCTGAATGTTTAAATTCTATGTCCTTTGTCAAACAAGTAAAGGACTTAACTGTCGTCCTGTCACATTTCACCGCTTACCATACAGGTGAAACTTACCAAATGGACAGATGTCATGCAGTTAGCAAAGTATGCGAATTTGTTAAGGAAGAATTTCTTCAAAACCTTTTCAGTTTTTTCAACAGAATATGATAGAAGAGAATGAGATAATGTAATCTTGCTTCGTAAGAATTCTCTACAGTAACCAGTCTACTGTATTTTGAAGTCAGCAACACACATGCTGCTCTTATTGTGTAGTATTGTGTTTCTTGGGGAGCAGAAATGTGGAGAGGGGTATTCATAAGAGAGAGAGAGAGAGCAGGACAGGGAAGGTGAGAAGAGAAAGAAGTATTTCCACCTCTTCTTTTATGCTACCAGATATATAAAGATTCACATGTGGATTTGGTGGTCCACCTGGCTTTCTTGCGGACTTTTGTTTACTGAGTCAGGGTACATGGACTTAGCCTTGAGTGGGATTTCAGTCTTAAAATTCAGTATTATCGTGGTACTGTTTGTGAACTCTTTTATTTGTTCAGAGAGTGTATTTATGTGTTTCATGTGATTATCAAAATAATTATATAGCTATTCAGCATTGACCAATTGGGCTTTGCAATTGAGAGGCAATATGCAGCAGGAACTGAATTTTAATTAATATTTAGATGAATGTTATGCTTCATATGGGGCACGTGGTAGCGTAGGCGGTTGAGGCACGATGCTACAAGCCGGAAGGTCGCGGATTCGAGTGCCAGTGAGTTTTTTTTTTTAATGTACCTAATCCTTCCAGCCGCACTAGCCCTGGGGTCGACTCAGTCTCTAACAGAAATGGGTACCAGGAATCTTCCTGTGGGTAAAGGGCGGCCGGCGCGTGAGGCTGACAACATCACCGCCATCTGTGAGCCGATTGTCTAGAAAATGTGGGAGCCTCCACCTCTCACAACCTTATGGGCCTTCACGGCCTGTTAAAGGGGTAGCTTATGCTTCAAAGAGTTAATGTCATATATTTTATGTTTAAACTGATTGAGATGCCACAGTAGCTTGATGTTTAAGTAATATCGTCATGAAATGACAGTTTTAGCATTTAATTGTAGAAGGGGACAGTTGTAATTGACCCATGAAGGAAATGAACCGGAACGCAGAGATATTTCACTGCATTTAGTTTACACGAGCTCTTTGTGTTGAACAGAATTTGGTAGTTCAACTGATGGAAGATAGACGGTGTTGTTGTAAATTAATTGTTCGTCATGACCATTGATTTAGTTTAAGCACAGTAGGTTAACTGCATCGTGTTACAATGTTGCAGGGTATCATTCAGAATTCCGGTCTAGAAATCCGAGATTACCGGCCGTGGGAACCCGTTGCACTGACCACACGACACCCTCTATCCGCGAAAGTTGGCACTAACTTCGCCGACAAACAGAGGTCGCTCGGTCGGTATAGTTCGCTTGCGGACTAAAAGCCACGGAGTTAGTTATCATTTAGAATTAAACGAAAACTTAAAATAGTCACAGAAATGTAACTAACCATAAAATGTTCGTATAACGTGTATAGACACATAAAGAATTTCATCAAGTTACTTACAGACCTCATATTCGCTCAATGTGTGGTCCACGAGTCACAAGACAGACGTCAGCCCTATACTCCAGTTGATTGAAGACGTTTACCAGCATATCATCGGTAATTGGAGCACTGTCTGCAGATGCAGCCATTGTTTTCAAACCGTATACACCACATGTAAATCCACTTTCGATGAGGTGCTTGCATTCGGTGGCGTTTACATAATTGCTGTTTTGTATTTATAACAGAATTTTCTTCGCAGATCCAATAACACAGAATACTTTCCCCCAAGTATACGCCATTTTCACAACACTTGCGCTTGTAGCAGACGATAAGAGAATCACGTTTTCGGCGTGCATTAAAAATAGATTGTTGAGACTGGCTACTTACCCGGGTGTATATGTCATCCATGTGACAGGAATGAGTATTATGTTGTTAGTATCTGAAATCATTTTGAATTATCCTGTATATCGAGTCCATACTATCATATTCACACTCGTTGGAACGCCTTCTGTTCCTATTCTGCTCATAAAACTCATGAAACGACCACGTTTATCAGTAATTATTAGTTAGGATGTTGGGAACGTTTGAATAAGTACTCTGTTGTTTTAGATGAAAGTGAATGGTGGATCTTTTTGACAAAGGATAGTGTGTTTCTGTGTTGTGT